CTTGTCTTTCATCGGGTTTTCCTCCCTCTCTCCTTTTCCTTCTCTTCCTCCTCCTCCTCTTCACTCCGTTTCTTCTTCTTGTCTTTCATCGGGTTTTCATTTTCCTCTCTCTCTCCTTTTCCTTCTCTTCCTCCTCCTCCTCTTCACTCCGTTTCTTCTTCTTGTCTTTCATCGGGTTTTCATTTTCCTCTCTCTCTCCTTTTCCTTCTCTTCCTCCTCTTGCTAAATCATTACCTTCTCCGATGTGTATTTTTTATCGTCATTACTTACATTATTATTACCACTGCGATTATTTTCAAGATCATCATCATTGATCACAGTATTTTACAGATTTCGAAGAAATGATGGCTGGAAGACGCTGTAATTATCATTATCATTATTATCATCTTTATTTTTACGTTATCTTAATCTTGCCTAAAATATATTTTATTATCTGTGTTATTATCAGTTATCTTTATAACTTTACTTTCTGTTTTTATTATCAACGACATATTTATTATCATCAATACATTGTTATTGTTACTTTCATTAACATCATTATTACTGTTCTTATTATCATCATTATCGTAGCAGCATCATTACTATTACTATTTTCATAATTATCACCATTTGTATATCTATCTTCATGTCTTAATATCTACTTATTTATCTATCTGCGTATACAACTATCTACTTATCTCTTTTGAATAATTTTCTTCTATTTCCATTCCTTTTTTCCTTCTCTTTTTCCTCTTCATTCCATTTCTCCTTTTTCTTGTCTTTTATCCGTTTTTCCTTTTCCCCTTTTTCTTCTTTTCCATTTATTCTTCTTGCTTAATTTTCTCGTTTTCTTGTATTTTTCCTTTTCTTCCGTTTTGCATAATTATTTTCCATCATTAATACTTTCATTGCCATGGTTGAGTTTACTGTTGCTGTCGCCGTTGTCCTTACTATTTATCATTATTATTATCATAATTGTTGCAATTACTATAATCAAATTATTATAATTGTTGCAATTTCCATAATTAGATTATCATAATTGTTGGAATCATTATTGTAATTACAGTTGTTGTAATAATTATCATAAATGCATTATTATTGTGGTTTTTGTTTTTATTTTGATGTTATTCATATTATCATTATTTTTGTTATCATTGCTATCATTATCATTATAAACACTTTCGTTATTACTATTATGATAAAGGCAACGGTAATTGTTACTACTATTATCGTTACTATTACTATGATTTGCATAATAAATAATTCCAGTTATTATCATTATTGTCAGTATCATTACAATATTCATTATTTTCATTATGATCATCGTCGTTACTATGACGATTATCAATAAACATATTATCAACAGCAGCATCGTAATCATGATCAATTATCAACATCAACGTTATTATTGTTGTTTTTATTACTATCATTTATATCATTATTACTATTGCTGTTAACCTTATCATCGTATCAGAATGATCATTACCTGTTTTCATAACGAATATCATTGCTATTGCTACTACTATTACCGTTAGTGTCTAGTGCTTTTCATGACAAACCATGCTCTTTTCAGTATATCTACATTCCAATAATACGCGACAATATCCAAATGATCACCATTATATTTCTATCACTTTTATTATCTCAAGACAGAGTAAAATATACATATATATTTATCATAGCTTCGATTATTATGTTTATCGTTCTTAAAGTTATTGAAGTATTATCATTTGTATCATTAGCGTTACTTGTTTCCCCGTTTTAACCCCTCGTCCTGCATGTGGCGCGTTATCGTCATTATTGCTGTTGTTATCATCGTTAACGTTGTTATTATTAATAATAATAATAATGATAATGATACTACTACTACTACTACTACTACTATTATTATTATTATTATCATCATTATCAATTTTGTTATTAATGTTGTTTTTGCTGTTGTTATTTTTCATTATTATTGTTATTATTATTATTGTTATTATTATTATTATTATTATTATTATCATTGTTATCATTTGTATCATTATTGCTATTGATATTATAATCAATATTGTCATTGTTATTGTCGTTATTATCATCATTATCATTACTATCCTTAGTATCTATAATATCATCAGCATCACCATTATACTACTGTCACATATTTTTGCTGTTATAACTATCATTATAACCATCTCTTGAACTCTTTAATGTTCTAAAATGATTATAACGTAGCATATTTTCTGTTTATTGAATCCTTGTTTGGATCCGACGAAACGAAAATACTCAAGTCACTCTATTAGTTCGTAAACATATCAAGATAATAGAATGTATACAATTCTTAACATATATTCTTTAGAACATATATTGGGAGTCTTTGCCTTTTGATAGTCATCTTCCTTGAAACCATCCAACTAGTGGTTGGTCGAGTTGAAACAAGCAAACATATATTTTATTATATATATATAACTATATATATATATATATATATATATATATATATATATATATATATATATATATATATATATATATACACACA